CCAACCCACTCTAACTCCTATCGAGCAAGCCCAGCAAGTCCGCGAGGAGATAGATTCGGACCTTGGGCGGTGGCAGGAAAGGTTTTCTCTCGCGGCCGATAAAGGTATTGAAGACCTTGAGGAACGTATTGGGGAGATCGTGTCTGCCCTGGTTGCAAGCAGCGCGAACACCCACGGCCAGAGCCTTTCTACCGCTCTTCAGTCGGTTTCAGCCGAGCAGATTTCCTCCATAAAACAACGCATCAATGAACTCGCGGGTTCAATGCCAGAGGTGGACGCCCCGGAGATCGAGGAGTCTACTAGCGACTTGCTGATTCGGGAAATCCGAACTTCTGCTATCTCTGTGAGAGATCGCGCCCATGCACTCCGAGAGTGGTCTATCTCGTTCGAGGACGAACTAGTTCGCCGAGTCACTGCTGCTGTCAATTCGACACTAGATGTTCTCGACAGCATTCGCAATCTAGGCTTACAAGAAATTGGCATGCGCTGGGCGTGGATGGATGGTGTCACATACAAGGATTGGGCAAAGTACCATGCCCTCAAAGCCCAACTCGAGGAATGGCGTAATGAGATCCGAAATGTCGGCATGAACCACAAATCCGTATCTGACGCCAGAGCCGTGGCGAGTGATATCTTAGATCAAGGCATGCATGAAGCCGAGCAAGCTGCCAGGGAACTTGTTCGGTTAAAGGATGTTGGGATCTGGAAGATCGCTGCTCGTGAAGTAAGCGATGATTTTGAAACTCGCACCGAAGCCCCGCCAGCAAGGCCCAAGGCCCAAGAGGAGACCGAGGAATCTGACGAAGAAGCTGCCAAGATGGATTTCGGTAACGATGAGTCTTCCGAAGAGGTGGCAACACCAATATCGGACGACGCTTACGAGGAAACTCCCTTTACCGATGAGCCTTCCGCGACTGTCAATGCTGAAGCGGATTTTGATGGCGTTAACGAGTCTGTTATGGACGATGATATTGTGGTGGAAAACCAGCCCTCCGCAAGACCCGCCTTTGGTGTTGCGGCTGCAGATGCAAATTTGCATCAAGCGCCTATCCTAGATGATGAGAGCCACACTGTCCAGGACAGTCTGGCAAGTAAGGTTGGCGATACCTACGCCGGGGCCAGCAATGCTGTTAGCGAAGCTGTCTATGGTGCATCGACGACCAACGGAGTCGGTGAGAAGGTAGCATCATTGGCCAGTGAACAGTACTCTGTTGCTTGGTCCGCCGCCTCTACCGTTATCCATGGCACCCCTCTCAGCCCCGTCGAAAAGGTTTACAGCGACGGCTCCGAGAAATATAGCGATGCTTTAGCCGCGTAAGTAGTATAGCATATTCAGCGTGTTTCAAAACTGCACAAAAATCGAATTATCGCTAATGCGAGTTTCTGCCACAGTGCGTCGTCCGTCATCTACGGCACCCCAACACCGGTTGTCCAATCTTTGATGGACGGAGCCAGCTCAACATTTGCTGATTCCACACATCAGGCTAAAGTACTCTATGAGATCGCGAAGTCTCAAGTTCTTAGCCGAATAGCCGAATCTAGCGCTCCTGTTCATGTCCAGATTCTCGCTTCCATAGAGTCGGCCTATTCCGGGTCTCTAAAATACGCCACGGATGAGCTGGAATCGAAGCTCCGCAATGTTCGTGCTACCCCGACACCATCCAACGTCGGACCTCTGGCCCATATCTCGTCCATCGCGTCTTCCCGGCTAAGCCATGGACTCAGCTTAGCATCTGAACAATTAGCTCGAGTGCAGCCACCAGCGACAACAGCCAGTATTCCTCAGGGCGGCCTCGAGCCATTCGTCCTTGATGCGCAGCGTCGCTACTACGAGGCAGTCGGGTTGGCCCATGACCACTATTCTGTTTTTGTCTCTACGGCATCCGAGGCGGTCTATGGTTCTCCAACCCCCACACCAGCCGGAAGCTCCAAGGGGATCATTGAGGAAGCAGGGTCTCAATACGAGCATGTGTCCTCGTTAGTTTCTGCCAGCCTTGCCGCTGTCGTCGCATCGGCAAGCTCGGCCATGTCTTCCGCGGATGGCGGCAAAGCACAAAGTATTGTTGAAGATGCTTCATCCCGATATAATGCTGCCCTCTCTGCGGCTTCTTCGTCTCTCTCTGCGGCTTCCATTTCCGCTAGCTCGGTCATCCACGGAACCTCCACGGGCCCTGTAGAGTCCCTTTATAGCCAAGTACCTGAAAAATGGGAAAGCCTCATCTCGAAAGCCAGTGAGCAGATCTATGGTGCGCCAACGCCGTTTCTGCAGCAAGTGGTGAATAATGGGCGTCCGCAGTTTGAGGCAGTCCAAGGGCTTGTCTCTGAACTGATTGCGGGCAAGCATCCTTCATATACGGAGAGTGTGCTGAGCAAACTGAGAGCCGCATATGAGACGCCATACCCGGCTGTCGCTTTCTCGTCTGCCTCTAGCTACGTTAATGAGGCTTATGGATCTGCGTCCTCCGTCGCTGCTTCTGTTATTTCAGAAGCCCCGAGCGTAGAGGACATCATACAACACGCGAATAATCAACTCCGTGCTGCTGTCGAAACCGCCAGCGTTGGTATCTACGGAACCCCCAAGGGTTCCTCCGAGAAAGCCACTGATGCCGCAGCTGATGCGTACTCAACAGCATCCGCTCAGATCATTAGCGCGGTTTACGGCAAGGAATCGAGTTACCTCGATGTCGCTAAGGATGCCATTGAGAATATTCAATCCACAGCCAGCGCTGCTATCTACGGCAAGGAACCCAGCGCAGTAGAGAGTGCAGCTATTCGTCTCGCTAGAGCCAAAAAGGACGCCATGTCTCAGCTGGCTGATCTAGCCGCCAATCTACCGGCTAGCAACGTTATTTTCGAGGCAGTCGAGACCGCCACAGCCCACCTTAAAGATACAACAAGCAGCATTAAGAGTTCCGCAGTTTCAGTCAAAGATGAACTTTGAACAATTTTTTTCAGCGTCTGTCAACTTTTTCTTTCTTTTTCTTCTTTTGATCCGGACTTAATCATTTTGTTCCGAACGAAACCCATGTCTTGGGAATGCCATGCGCGGCTCACGACGCATTATTCCCCGTATAGTTTGACACGATGGCCATATGCTCATGATTTGTAACATGCACAGACTTGCTTTCTTTTTCCCGCTTCTATCTCAATTTTCCTCTCTACTCACTTCCTGGTTGAAATACGAGGCTTGTTTAAAGTGAGATATGTTCAGTGCATAACGAATGATTTTTTTGAAATTAAATATGTAGTTATGGAATTATTGTGTGTAATTTCTGAGCGGTTGGGTATCCCGACCTCGATGTGTATGTAGCTATCACCCACGGTGTGCATCCCTCCTATAGAACGGGCTAATAAGGATAATTACATAGGTAATGGCAAGAATCTACACATATAAACGGATTCGATTAATCTTGCCTCAGAAATCAATGCATGTGTTATGTTTATATGTGGAGAAAAAAGTGAAATCATGATCCTATATAAAATCTATAGCGTCAGAGCCAAGCTCGTAGGTTGAGGGTAGTAGTAGGAAATTCCCCTGTTCCAATATATAAATATATAGAATGAAAATGACGGTCAAGATGGCATCCAACTAGGAAAGATGGAAATGACTTTGGGTTCCCATTCTACATCAACTCATTCTGTACATATCCTCCACTCTCTGATCACCTATACTTCATGGTCGAGCCTCTCTTTTCTTTCTTCAACTGCGTCTTGCTCTTTGGCGCATCGGCCTCTTGACCCGCATCACCACCACCCATTCCAGCAAATCCCTTCTTCACACCCATTATCGTGGTGTAGGCAGCGTATACGGAGTATAATGGGATCACAGCCCACAACCACCAGGCCCGGTCATTGAAGAGGCAAACAGTAACAATGCATCCCTGGGTCCAGTAAAGTACATCCCACATATACTCCGTCAGACCGGTTGCGTTGAGATCTTCGCCGGCGGAACGCAGGGAACCATCTTCATTATAGCGAGGCCGGCCCATTCGGTCCAAATAATATTCAATTGCAAGGGTCGGAACGGCCAAGAAGAAGTATGGCTTCAGTGAACGCGGCCGCTGGAAAGCAAAGTGCAGTAGGAGGAAGAGCAGGTGCAATGCAGCAGAGATGATGTGCGTACGGCTGAGGACGGCACCATTGCGAGCCGCTAGAGATTTGGTAGCTTTCTGTGATACGATCAGAATTTTTCCACCCAATGATCGGAGCTAATCCGAGGTTTAGTCGCAGCAAGCAAGCGTCCTCACTACATACCTGAGCCATGGTTGAATGCGATCACCAAGTGATCTGCAATGATCCTTTCTAGAACAGATGCCCTAGATGAATTGACCAGGCTTTTCCCCTTTCAAGTGGCAAGCAGATGATCGGAATTCGAGACTGGGCGGAGAAAGAAGAAGAAGAGAGGGGACCTGCATATGACAGCTATAGCACATTGGGTGATTGTTACCCTCCACTACCCCCACCGCCCGACAAGAACGGCAGAAATGACAAAGGCCGCCTCAGACCAGAATAACAGAAAGAACGGATCCTATCTTGAGCACATCTTGCAGTCCTCCGCTTATTTGGAAATGTTCCTGGCACTCTGAGAGACTCATCCTGCGTCCGCAGATGACGTAACCAGAGGACTCACTCTTCACTTCTTTCTATCCTTCATCCGCTTACCATTTCCGGCTTGGGTTTACATTCCTCATTGTTCCACACCGAGAGCACTCGATAGCTCCTGCATCTAGACGAATTCAAACCAAGACATCGGACTTGCTGCTGTCCATGTCTCGTGGCTGTTGATGGGACCATTCGCTCGTGCTGCAACAACCCACTCGATCGCGTCGTTGTTTCCTCCCCGCGTCTTGGAGGACATTACAAAGGCGCCGGACATTGATGCTACAGTAACGCTAAGGAACTGACTCTGCGCATCGCATTATTATCTCCACTTCCAATAATCACTAAACAATTTCCGCCTTGCCTTGTGCTATCGCATACTGTGTTGCTGACCCCTCACTATGGCCTTGTCCACCGGGCATGTTGCCAGCCAGCTAAGGCACCTCATCTATTACCAGCTCGACAATAACCTAATCCGCAATGCGCTCTTCCTCGCTTCACGTCTCCTCGCATATGAACCACGATCATTTGAGGCCCAATATCTACTCGCCCTTTGCCACCTACACAATGGAGAAGTGAAGGCGGCGTTCGAATGCAGCCAGCCTTCGGGCTCACGCGGTCTGCATGCTGGTTGTGCATATGTCTTTGCTCAGACCTGCTTAGACTTGGGGAAATACTTGGATGGTGTTACGGCTCTGGAGCGTAGCAAACCCCTTTGGGTCTCTAAGAACCACTGGAGTAAGCGCCAGCAAACTTTTCCGTCAATTCCAAGCTCACTTGCTAACCACATTATAGACAAGCATAGTGAGACTCAGCGACAGCACCTGCCTGATGCTGCAGCTGTGTATTCTTTGCAAGGGAAACTTTGGCACGCACATAAAGATTTGACCAAAGCAGTTGACTGTTACGTGGAGGCACTGAAACTGAACCCCTTCATGTGGGATGCTTTCCTAGGGCTTTGCGAAACAGGTATTGGTTTAACTTCTTCTCTCAAGGCGAGTTTTTCTAATGCAATATCAGGTGTCAATATTCGTGTCCCGAATATCTTTCAACTTAGCCCAGAACTTCTTGCAATAATATCTTCATCGCCGGAGGAAATAGCTACTGTTCAGGACCACGTGGCTTACGAAGAAGGGAATTTCCCAATGCAGCCTCCTAGTAACCCTGAATCCGACCCTTTTATGGTCTCTGCCTCCCGTGGCGAAACTGACACCACATTTGGAAGCTCTGCTCTTTGGGAAAAGTTAAATGGGAGCTCTGTCAATTTTGCTGCTGTGGCACAGCCGGTTTTCCACGACGGGATGGAGACCCCAGGCGCACAGAGCAGTGGCTCTGATGACTTTCGCATTGCGAATGGCGTCACAGACCCAGAAGCTGGATGGGAAGCACCCTTGGCCCCTGCCCGAAAGACACGGACAATCCAAACTATGAGCCTTGACCATACCGGGCAACCTCCGCCGCGAATGCGTCCAACGGGAATCAGACCTCGCCACAAGACGCGGACCGAACCAGAGACTCAGCCAGCTGCTCCGGCGGTAGAACGAGATTCCTCTCTTGTATCGAGATTCGGGGACCGCAAGCGCACAGTCTCTGGACAAGTGGCCCATCCACTTCCCTCATCACAACCGACTGAACCAGGTGCTCCCCAGCGCCGAAGCGTTCGCCTCTTCAACCAGATCAAACCTACAAGCAGCAAGCTTTCAAACAGCACGCTTACTGGCAGAGACGGTCGCGAGATGAAGAAGTTGAGAGGGGGCCCTACAAAAGGACGAGTAGGAGGTGTGCCCACTGTCGGCCGTGTCGTGAGTGGCAATCGAAAACCCATTGAGACACCCGACAATGATGGTAAAGATAATCGGACTGGCTTATCTCAATCGCATCATCTCGTCCCCCCATTACCCAAAAATGCCGAAAAAACCAAAGAGCTTGAAGCCTTGGATTGGCTTTTGGGTCTTTTCAATAAACTTGCGTCTGGATATTTCTCATTGAGCCGTTACAGGTGCGCGGATGCCATCAGCTCTTTCAATTCTCTCTCGCAAGGCCAGCGCGAAACCCCTTGGGTTTTGTCTCAACTTGGACGGACCTATTTCGAACAAGCAAGCTACACAGAAGCCGCGAAGTACTTCTCCAGGGTTCAAAAATTAGCGCCCTCCCGCATCGAGGATATGGAGATCTACTCGACCGTCTTATGGCATCTGAAAAATGATGTAGAACTGGCTTACTTGGCGCATCAGCTACTCGAAGCTGATCGCCTATCCCCTCAGGCGTGGTGTGCTATTGGCAACTCTTTTTCTCACCAACGGGATCATGATCAAGCACTCAAGTGCTTCAAGCGTGCGACTATGCTCGATCCTGAATTTGCATATGCTTTCACGCTGCAGGGACATGAATATGTCGCCAACGAAGAATACGACAAGGCATTGGAGGCCTATCGCCACGGCATCAACGCGGACAATCGACATTACAATGCTTGGTACGGACTGGGAACGGTGTATGACAAGATGGGCAAGCTTGACTTCGCTGAGCAGCATTTCCGCAATGCAGCCAGCATCAACCCGACGAACGCGGTGCTCATTTGCTGCATTGGTCTGGTACTGGAGAAAATGAACAATCCCCAAGATGCCCTGGTCCACTACGGACGAGCCTCCTCGCTAGCCCCTAACTCGGTATTAGCCAAGTTCCGCAAGGCGCGCGTACTGATGAAGCTGCGCGAGTACAAGTTTGCTTTGGCAGAATTAAAGGTCCTCAAGGACATGGCGCCGGACGAGGCAAACGTGCACTACCTTCTTGGAAAGCTGTACAAAATGCTCCACGACAAGGCCAATGCTATCAAGCATTTCACGGCAGCCTTGAACTTGGACCCAAAGGTACGTCTTAGGGTATATTTTTTTTTTAGATTCCCCTCTCCTTTTTAAGTTCTTTCTGATTATGATCTCACCCAGGCTGCACAATACATCAAGGATGCAATGGAGTCGTTAGACGACGACGATATGGAGGATGAGGACATAGCGTAGACGTAATGTCTCAGGTCTTTCTGTTGGGTTCCCACGGGGGCCCTCTCTTATGAACTCGGCGTTTGAGGGCCTCTTTGCACAGCATCACTGTGGAGTTTTCTTTTCCAGGTTTAGACATCTGGCATATGATGGTGTTCTGTACATTAGTTTCACGATTTTCCCTGGGCATGCATCATGAGGATGGTGAATGCATAATTCTATTATTCTTTGAGGAAAGAGATTCTCATTATTGGCTGAATCCTTAAAATATATTTTGATTCTGGTATAAATATCCCCGCAAGCGCCCTGGTGACACCGTCATATGCACATACCAGGCGGTGGGTCGGCATCGGGGCAGAAAAACGATTCAACTCTCTACCATTTGCCCTTCTCCACAAGCCATGCATGGCTCAATCTTGGATTTGATCTGTTATTCCTCTTTTCTTCGCTGATTCCTTCCTCGTATTCCAGTCGTGGGCTGGTTGTTGTCCATATACTAGTGAACAAGGTACGTCCCCTCTCATGAAGTATAATTTTCACCCTCTGACCGCATTTACCCAGCTCTTCTTGATCGCCCAACAACCGTCAACATGTCTTTCGGATCTTATATTGTTTCAGGTGTTACCTCTTTCGTGGTAGTGACCGCCTCCCTCTTTGCACTCGGTCAAAAAGTGCCTCGCGCCGCTTTTGTCGCCCGGTGTCTCGCCTCGTATGGCTGTCTCCTCGTCAGTGCCGCGTACGGTGTGCTCGTCTCGATCTGTCTGCGGCTAGTTGGATACGGCCGTGTTTCGCAGTGGGCAGCAGGCCGTAGCTTTAAGTGGCTGATGCGGTTCACAACTGGCGTTAAGTTCGAGGTTGTCGAAGGCGAAGAATACCTCTCCACACGTCCGGCCGTTTTCATTGGTAACCACCAGACTGAGCTTGACGTGTTGATGCTTGGCAGTGTCTTCCCGCCATACTGCAGTGTGACTGCCAAGAAGTCACTGCGGAATATTCCTTTCCTGGGCTGGTTCATGTCTCTGTCCCGGACTGTGTTCATTGACCGTGCCAACCGGGAGACAGCCCTCAAGGCTTTCGATGGTGCCGCCGCCGAGATGCGCAATCACCGCCAGAGCGTTTTTATTTTCGCTGAGGGCACCCGGAGTTACTCCGACGAGCCTACTCTCCTACCTTTTAAGAAGGGTGCTTTCCACCTCGCTGTCAAGGCCGGTGCGCCAATCGTGCCGATTGTGACAGAGAACTATTCGCACGTTCTGTCGCCTCGTGCCTGGCGATTCAACGCTGGGACTATCAAAATTAAGGGTGGGTGTTATTAAAAGTTGCCAATATATGTCATGTAGAACATGGCTAACAATTTTGGAACAGTTTTACCTCCCATTTTGACTCAGGATTTGACATCGAGCGATGTCGATAGCTTGACCCAGTCGACGCGGGATTCAATGCTCAAAACTCTTGAAGAAATGTCTCATGTACAGAAGAACGAAGTCGATGTTTCTCGCACCAACGGCGTCTCCAGCGCCATTGAAATCTAAGTGGCAAAACAAAATTGTGATTCGTCACATAGCTTCGTGCTCAGCATTTGCCATCTGTCTCCCCTGGTTTGAGTGCAAAATTCAAAGTTCACAACAGCAGAGAGCAAACCCGGAGTCCACAATTAACGAAGAAGAAATCTGCCCTTTATACACTACAGTATAATCCTGGCCAATTCTTCGGTACCTACTCCAGTTCGACCCAAGAAACAGAATTTGAGGGCCTCAGACGTGGAACCTATCCGACACTATCCGACACTGCTCATGAGAACAACAATGATCTAGATATCGGCATTGCCTCTTAACACCGTCTTCTCTCTTGATTCACCTCTTCCCCCTTTTCAATTCAAAATGTATATATCTTTAGCGTAAACGCATGACACGACCCGGCTACTGTTAGATACTCGCTTTTGTTACTTATATATATTTGGGTTTACATTAGACCACAGAACATAAATAGGCTTGGGCTTCTTACTCGTCTTTTTTCGTGCAATCTATACTTCGACTTCGTCTTCGAATATTGACTTTTGGGTTCGATCTAAATCACATCGGAGAGTGAAAATCCACAGAGGCTTATTGGGGATAAACATCTAAGCGGCACTCAACTAGCTTAGAATAGATTACACTTGAAACAAAAGTCCCTAAAGATGGGAGGAATATTTGATTTTCGCTAATCACAACAAAGCAATACAGAAATATGCTCAAGGGGAATCATCGCGAAATCTCGCTCAGAAAGGAGTATGAGATGAGGAGATGCAACATGCAGGTAACTCGGGGGATGATTACCGGTTCATATCCCAGGAAGAAGGGATTTAGAAGCTTGATAGGTTCCGTAGGTGCTCGCAGCGGCCCTCGGCACAGGGCCGAATATCGATGTCAATATCAACCTCCTGCATGGGCAACCAGGGGTCTATGATCGCCGAGCCAACGCACCAGGGGTCCCGGTCGCCGACTGTGCGAAGCGCGTTGGGGGGGATGCGGACGTTCTGAGGTTCAATTTCAGGGTCGAGGGCTGTGATATACCCGGGTAGGTGGTGATCGCTGCCATTCACGGCCATCTGCTGCGAAATGGCTCCAATATTAGGGCCTGAAGCGGCTGTAGCGACGATGTAGTCGGACTCGAAGCCGACGAGCTGAACGCGCACAGAATGGTCAGGAATGCCACGTAAGGATATTTTGACATCGGAGTAAGGCCGGCCCCAATTTTCGACTGAGGGCGCATTGAGAGTTGTAGGAGTGAGAGGGCGACCTGGAAATCCAAGTTTCTGTACGGGTTCTGGGGGAATGACATTTGTGAATTCCAGATCCTTTATCCAAGAGGCCAGAAGGCCGTCCCCGGTCATTTTCAAGTAAGCCTCCTTGAGAGCCCAAATTGAGTAGAACAGCCGAATGCCGTAGGCAGCAAGAACTTCCTCGTTGTCTTTTCTCGGGTCAATTTTACTCAGACCAAGCTCACGAGCCAATTTAAGAGTCGCGTACGGGTTCTTGATGGTCGCAAGCTCACGGAGTGAGAGAACATCACTGAAGACATCCACGAAAGTTGCCAGGTCGGCAAGAGTTTTCGGTGGACGATTAGCACGACGGCGAGAGGGTTCGTCAACACAGGCAATGTCAATTCCCACGCGAGGCAAGCCTTGTGGTTCGCCGGTTAAGGAGTGGGCTGTTGCGGCACGCGTGCCTGCGAACAAAGTGAGACCAGCCTGGTGGCTGACGTTGAAATCAAGACTTGAGTCGTAGAATGGACGATTTTCGGGAATAGGAGTACGCTGAATCTTAACCTTGCTCCAGGGAGTGCCAGTGGCTTGGTGAACGTAGTAATATTTCAGTAGCTGGGAGGCCAAGGACAGGCGCTTGTCCGAAGTTTGATAGTACTTTTTGACAGCTACCTGATCGGACTCAGTTAGAGTTTGGAGAAAAGGAAGGTCAAAGAATTTTTCATCCCAACGTCTGACATCGATGTACCATCGGACCAACGTGGGCTGGCCCTTTAAGATGTCGTTCTGTTTAATCTCATTGGAATCCGCTTTGGTCTGAACTTTATCAGTGGGTAATTCCTGGAGGCCCAGTAGCTACTTACACGTCCAGATACACCGAGGTCTACCATTGCATTGTTATCATGGGGTCTCATATATTCGTACCAGCCTAGGATGCAGAGCATCCCACCTAAATAGAAGCGCCTTATCAGAGTTCTTATCTATCAACACGTGCCGATAATACAACGGCGTACCTAAGACAGGAAAAAAATCATTGGAACTAGTGTGATATACCAGGTAGGGCCTACCTGATCAGTCTTTCTGTAGTTAAATTTGATTTCTATACTATCATGACTGGGGTTATCCAGTCAAGTTTCCAGCCAAAACTTTGGAGTAAAGTCCGAGAGTATCCCGACATGCGCCACAGAGATATCACGTGGAGATAAGCTCCCCGCCAGGAAGTTAAAAGGCACGTGCTTCAAACGAGTTATCAATATCAAGAATTCGAGGTTTTCGATTCTTATCTTTCGAGACAATGGCTATCACTGTTGGAGTTCTGGCCCTGCAGGGCGCTTTTTTGAGCATGTGCAGCTTTTGAAAAAAGCCGCTGAGCAAGTGACGCCGTCGGAATGGCACTTCATCGAAGTACGAACGCCACAAGAACTGGCAACATGCGATGGCCTGGTCTTGCCCGGAGGCGAGAGTACCACCATGTCTTTGGTCGCAGCAAGGTCAAATCTCCTCGAGCCATTGCGGGAATTTGTAAAGTAAGTGAATTTGATTAGTTCATATGAATTCAATCTAATACGTTGGGTATGTGTAGAGTGGATCGCAAACCAACTTGGGGTACATGCGCCGGGCTCATTTTGCTCGCCGAGTCTGCCAACAAGACAAAAAAAGGAGGGCAAGAGCTGATCGGTGGTCTTGATGTGCGAGTGAACCGAAACCACTTCGGTCGACAGACAGAAAGCTTCCAAGGCCTGTTGGATCTGCCATTCTTGGGTCAGGACGCGCCTCCCTTCCCAGCAGTATTCATTCGAGCCCCTATCGTCGAAAAGATTCTTCCCCACCATGAGGGCATCCAAAAAGAAGAGATTCAACAGGAAGATGTTGTCGTGGCACCGTCCAGAGAAGCACGGGACTCAGTGGCGCAAGCAGCAACAGCAGAGCACGTCGAGGTACTAGCAACATTAGTGAGACCGGCAGCTCAACCCGCCACGGAGGGTGGAGATATCGATTCAGACCGGGGAAGTGGCGACATTGTTGCAGTGCGACAGGGCAATGTATTCGGCACCAGCTTTCACCCGGAGCTGACAGGTGACGCAAGAATCCACACTTGGTGGTTGCGCGAAGTTCAAGCAGCAGTGCTGAAACGAGACAAGTTAAAGCAATAATTCACCAGCATTAGAAGGTGGAAAAAAGACAGTTGTAAATAGGGTATTCGGTGAATAGACATTTCCTCTTTCTGCTAATTGGATTCACCCTTCCATGAAGTAACGCCATTGCTTTGCCAAGCCAGTCCTTTTCCATTATGTCCCGACCTATCTTCCGGCACCGTATTCGTCCTCCTCGCGCTGGCGCTGCTCATCATAGGCGCGGCCATATCCACCACGGCCCGGATCGTATTCTTCGCGGTATTCATCGCGCACTTGACCGCCCGATTTGCCTCGTCTGCAGCGAAAGTCAGTAAGTACGAGCTTAAAGCCGCCATTGGTGAAGACCACATACCCGAATTGCCGTCCTTCTTCAAATCCAGGGTCAAGGTCTGTCCGAATGATCCGCTCGTCCAGCTTGGTTCCTCCGATGTACTTCAAGCAATCTAGCGCATCCTGATGGGTATAATACTCGACAAAGCAAAAGCCACAGGGTGTTTTGTTGAATCGGTCGAGGCCCATTACAAGTCGCTTGATCTCGCCGCACCTAGAATTCAAGGTTAATCATAATTCGAAGAGACTCGAAAGCGCATTCTCACTTGGCGAAGAGTTCATGAATTTGTTCCTCGGTGGTATAAAACGAACTTGGGTTGGTTAGTAACGACAATTGCGTCTAAGTTATTGCATGCTTGCATACAGATTTCCCACGTAGAGGGTTGTCGCATTTTTCAATTTGTCATCGGGTTTCTCCTGTTGCTGCGGTTCCTCCTCCTCACGATCGTTGTATCTGCGTCGCTTGTTCTGTGTACAGTTTGTTCAGCCTCTATAGCCTATTTGGACTGGTTTCGACACAGCTTGGTAAAGGGCAGTCAGTCCAGGGCGAGTACTCACCTTGCTGACGTAGTAGGCGCTCGGTCGATCCAGTCGGTCGACCGTGTTTACAGCCAGCAAACTCATAGTGAATTGAGATAAAGGTTGAACTTGGAGTGTGTGGTCGACGGCAGGTAGTTGGGGAAGCAAAGCAGCTCGGAGCTCTTCGAAAGATCTTGGCATCCAAGAATTCCACTCCGCATCAACAACTTTGCTTTCGTCAACTTTGTTTTTTTTTCCACCTACGCTACTCGTCTGCTATTTCCGACCGCCCCAGGATGATCTGAAACTCTCAACACCCTCCGATTATACAATTTATTTTACGAATCGTCCTTAATGCCGAAGGTCAACAGTTATGCGCCTGCCTGGCTGTGCCGGCCCTCACCTGGCGCAAAGTTCCTGTCTAGCAGTTCAGCCCAGAGCCCAGGGGAGGACCTGCAAACTGGATCCAAGCCCATGAGAAATGGAGCTACACGAACGATTGCCAAGAGAGGCAATGAGGTGTTCGCCGTTGTTGACAATGAAATACGGTGGTCAAACCTTGCCCGACTCAAAGACCAATGGCAACAAGAGATTAAGCAGAAAAAGGGATATGCTAGTCAAGCTGAAGAGCAAATTGACCTCAGCCAGGTTCCTCCCTACAGGGTATGCAAGCTATTCCACCCAAAATCCGACTTAAATTGAATGCGACTAACAGTTCCGCAGGTCTTAGCAGTGCCCGTGTATGGACAGATCAAACAGATCATCCCCTCTCCGAATGGCGCCTTCCTCGCCATAGTCACTGAACACACCGTTCATATCTCCGTTCTCCCCGATTCTTCACACCTTTCGTCCTCCGACTCCGACTCTATCCGGCTGAAGACATATCAGTTAGGACCGACAACCCATGTTATTCCTGAGGCTCCGGTGGTCTCTGCGCTATGGCATCCACTGGGGTTGCACACCAATTTAGGAGGCTGCATTGTTACCGTCACGGCTGACGCTGCAGTACGTGTCTGGGAGTTGGACCGGAATAACCACTGGTCCTTCGACCAGCCGACTCTAGCAATCGATCTGAAGAAACTTGTCGATGGGACCTCGTGCGACCAGGACTTCGCGCCTTCTGGATTTGGCAAAAGCAAGGGATTCTCCGCTGATGTTATTGATATGGAGGTTGCGTCGGCCTGTTTCGCTGGCAATGGGAATGAGAAAGAAGATGCGTGGGCGCCTATGACCCTGTGGGTGGCCATGAGACCCGGTGATCTCTATGCGCTTTGTCCTCTGTTGCCTTTTAAGTGGCAAGCCCCTTCTACGACCATCCCTTCCCTCTCTGCAGCGATTATTCCGAAACTCGGTGCGCTAGAACAGGAATCCCAGGAATCGGAGGAGGAACTGATTGCCTGCCGGCAACAGTATGACTGGCTTTCTGAGCTTGATGAACAAGAACCTCTGGATGCGCCTTCTGGATCACGAACAATTCAAGGCGCAGATGTGTTCACGCGCCCGGCCAATCCTAGCTCTATTCCAAGATTACAAGGGCCTTTCCGCTTCGAAACTGGCGATGAACTCGATGATTTGGATCTCTGTGATCTTCTTGTTATTGCCGCCAGTCTAAACGTCGAGGATCTCATGATGGGCGAGGAAGAAGAATTAGCCGTGGAAACTGGGGACCAAGATAAGCTTTCGGCAACAGTTCTCTCTCTTACTAGTGGGAATGGCCGAGTTCACATCTGTCTAGAGCTCGATGGCGTTGAAGGACAATGGCTACCTAAAGCTAGAAAGAACGCGTTCCGAACTCCTGTTTCAGAGCCGACTGAATTGGTCTTGGTCGAATCACTAGATACGATCAAGGATGGGGAGGAAACAACCTCATGGCCTACTTTCACCAAGGATATCCATTCTCGATACTCATTCTTTGTCACCACTGCCACCAACGTGGTGTTCATATCTCTCTCCGGTTGGGTACAGAGACTGGAGGCTGAGTTGCAAGCTGAAGACACTGCAGGTTCCGCTTTCCGTCTCCAGGTTCTATGTGACGGGAATGTGACCAACCGAGAGAGAATTTTGCAGGTTTCGAATGCCGATATTACCGCGCAAAACGAACATCTTGCCACGTCTCTTGTTTTCTATGACTTTGACATTGGCTACTTGCTCCTCACCTACCATCCATCTAACCCTTATGCAGTTGTAATGGATACACCAGAAGATTCTCTCTCCTTGGCACTAGACAAATCACTGTATGAGCCCAGAGCCCCAGCGCCAGGCTCGCTTCTTTTGTCGCCGAGCCGGGCCCCGTATCAAGTTCCCGCCATTTTCTATGCCAACTCTCCGCTGGATTCTTTCGTCGAGAAGCATGTCCCGCATCGGCAACGCCATACGCTCAAGGAGCAAGTTCGCCTGTCTCCTGCGACATTGGATCTTGTGGCCACTGCGCATCGCGTGCTATCTGCTCATACAAATGCTCTTGAGCGAGCTGCTTCGGATTTATTCCGCCGCTGTGAGCGGCTGCAGGGCGAGATGCAGGATCAATTGAAGCAGCTTGCAGACGTTGCAGAGCGTGTCAAGGGTGTCACGAGTGAGATTGGGGAAGATGGGCATCGCAAGGAGGGAGTACGAAATGGAGAAGCGCTGGATAAAAGATTGCAAGCCGCCCAGAACAAGCAAAGTGAACTGAACCGACGATATGAGGCACTACGCACGAAGGTCCTAAATTCTGGAGGTCGTCCTCTGAGTGAGAGGGAGAAGGCATGGATAACTGAGGTGAAGACATTGTCTGCATCCTTACAGCAAGGCGAAGAGCAAGAGGAGGATCAACCATTGATCTCGCGGTTGGAGACTGTAAGTTTTATCTTTCTTGCATTCGCCATAGCAAAACTCACATTTCATCTAGGTTAAACGACTTGCTCTGGATCTTATGGCCCAGACCAAGTCTGTCGCGGGCAAAATGCCCTCTCCGGAACTTGGAACCCCGTCCTCTCCTGGGGGTCCGCCTAAGGTGCCCCAACGACTGCAACGGGCCAAGGTTGCAGATGCGATGAGGATGGTCGAACGAGAGTGAGTTGCCTCTTTTATTCTCCTATTAATGAATCAATGACTAACGTTCTTCAAGATCCGCTGTTATTGACGCGATTACCTCACGTTTGGAACGATTGAACACGAGTCTGTGAGCTGTCTACTCTGCATGTTGTCGGGGGATGTAGTTTTTCACATTGACGGAGTATGTTATTACGCATTAATTCACAAGGCTCGTGAGACGAGCCACTGTTCGAATTTTAAACCTTGAACCTCAGGTTGTCCTCAGCTAGATCTAAGCCGTTAAACGTTACAACATCTCAATTGTGGCCTATATCTCCATTCCTCCTAGTTAATTTAGATATCCTCAGGCGGCTGCTCTTTTTCATGGGTCAACACCACTTCATCCTGTTCCCATCTACGCAATAATGCGACGCTGTTCGCTGGAATGACCCCGAAATAATAAATGAATTTCACTAAAACAAAATACTTCTTAGAAACAGGCGCAGTCTACAACATAATAATACGTTTGACAACATCTTCCGGTCCGCTCCTAATATATCTCCTACTGTCCTGTTGGGTAGTACTCCTGCACTGAGTCATAAAACAGCAATGATCGGTCCTCCAAGCTGTTGATCAGGCCTTTAGGCCTAGAAGGAGGGGCCCGCAATAGATCACCTTCTTCGTTCCCCGAACTGAAATCTTCTGTTTCTTCATCGAGGTACTCTTCACAAGAAACAAAAGAATCAGTACCATCAGACAAGTACCGGAATAGAGCCTTCTTGGGGTGCCTTGCTCGATCGTCCCTCCTCATCAACGCAAGATCCACCAGATCACAGGTCCTGGTCAAATCGAAATTGTTATCCTCAGATACGGGACAAAACGCCGAATGTAACTCATAGTATAGTTGTGGGGTCACTGGTCGCGAGTATGGAGATGACGAGAGGAACTCTTCAGCCAGAAAATAGCTCCTGTCATCGCCGGGACAATTCTCGCTCCCGTCTACGTCGCTTTCGCAATCTGATTTCGCCATTCCGGTTGCTTCTCCGTCTCTGTCAGCTTTGTCACATGTTTGCGGTTTGTAAACCCGCTTATTTCCTTTCGCACAGCAGTCTGCGCATGTCACTGTGTGGGATTCGAGTGTTATCATTCTTGGACTTCAACAGAGCCGCTTGTCTCGGCATTTTAACAGGTCCATGTCCCAAATACAGCCGCACAGTGTGTACTTGCATGTCCAGTAGATGCACATCTTGGAGGGTAGAGAATCCAGGATTCCGTTGGGTTGATACCTTGGTGGATGATAGGTTTGACAGACGAGAGACCCTGTATCTTATAGTTTCACTCGCAAATATTATTCAGAACTATACAAAGTAACAGAAGAAAGCTTTTGACAGTTTCAAATTGCACAAAGACCATGTGTTCCTGTGGGCTTGAACTTGGTTGCTCTCTCTGTCCTTTCCTTCCAAGGGTTTCTTTAGCAAGTGCTGTATGTACACAAATAAATTTTGAAAATTGAGAGAGAAAGGGAATATAAAGCTCAGGCTGAGGACTCAACAGCTACTGGTAACATGATTTGCATGTGCACTTCGAGGGAAGTGCCGAAGATCCACTACCTGGACTGTTCCGGTTCGACTCCGGGTTTATCTTCTTTTTGTCTAGTTTCTCTGTCTTATTGCTTTTGCAGAAAACGAACAATGACAAGGCACCTACTTGCTTTGCTCCCCTATAGGGCTGCTACTATTGATAGGGTTCGAACGCACACGTGACCATTGACAGGCAAATCAAATGTTTTACTTTCTTTCATTGGGCAATTATATCAGATAATTGGGTGCTTATTATTTGAGTAGCTTCTTGTAATAATCTCAAGTAGTAGAAGGTCAGGAAACAAGTGTGTTGTAGAGCCAAGTCCACCATGGTGCATTTGCCCTTAGTTGTCACAATCCATCGTAGGATACATTTTCTGTAGTTTGTTGTATTTCAGAAAGGAACAAAAAAATCAAAATCAAAACTCCCGGTTATTTCTAGTGCCCTCGTTCCCACCAGGCCGCTCCATACCAGCGCCGAAACCAGACCAATATTTGTCGTAATTGTTGAAATATCCATTGAATCATCATTGCAGAAAGTCAAAGCCAGGTGATCAGAGCCCAGTCGAAGCGAGCCTCGGGGTGCTGACGTAGAATGTATTGGCCAGATCCTGGGCATCCTCAACTCGATCGTTGATCATGAGGTAGACATCATCGATGATCTCCTCCCAGGTGGGCAGAATCAAGCCCTCGAGGCAAACCTCCCATCTCCACATGTCATCAGCAAACTTGCCCTCCCACCAGACAAGCCACTTATTATACTCGTGCGGTTTATGGCTCATGAGACGGAAGGCCAGGTGCCCAATCTCTATGCGAAGCTGGCGCCAACTCTGGAAAGCACCAGACATAAAACCGTCAATCTTGTTGGTGTAGTCACAGGTAAACTTTCCGTAGGCGATCGAGTCAACGCAGAACTGCAGGACATCACGGGGGATTTTGGCAGCGGCTGCAAGGGTCGGGTTGGCGAAGCTCCAATCCTCCTTCCATTCCAGGAGACGGCGCATGGAGGATTGATGGAGCTGGTAGATAACGGGGCCTGTGCTTTTGGGGCATAACTTGAAGTAGCGGTGGTCGCGGGTGACCATGAGGCTCTTCATGCCATATACGGCTACCATAGCTTTGTACTGGAGGGCGACCATGGCATTGCGCACCTCGTGGGGCACTAAAATCCACCGGGGGACGACGAAGGCGCTTGGGTCGAACTTATACTCGAGAATCGAGCGGCCTTCATTAAGAAGGCGCATCATGGACCGCTTCTGACGGAGATTGAGAGTGGGGTTGCTCATAGTTGGTGGCTGCATGAGAAAAGATTGTTGGGGGGGGAGTGGTAAAGAGAGGTTGTGGGTGAGAAGAAAGAAGGAAAGAGTGAAAGGAAATATGGTGGAAGAAAAGTAGATGAACTGGGAGATGTCTCGTGGGAGATGTCTCGTCTGTAAGAGCAGTGTTTTGCTTGCGCTCAATGACCTTTGACATCCTTATTCTGGCATCGACGGTATACAGTTATTTTAGTTCTCAATTTACCTTTCCAATCATGGAACCTTCCGTTGATCATAGCTACTAAGCCTAAAAGTGCTATTGTTAGCCTAAGGCAGAGTCTACTTTAGAGTTAGGGATTAGGTATGATATCAGGCACATTTTCGAGTTTCATTATGTTTCTTGGATCCAAAGAAACGACAAGCTTCATAGCCCTGTTGTGATACAGATCTTCTTTCACAAATTCTGGGCTGTTGGAGACGTCATCTTCAAAACGATATATTGGCATCTTTCTGGAATAAAAGGCTGTCGCGGGTTCTGCTACTTGATTGGTCCTGCCCGAGACAAGACACTCATAAGTCAGAAGAGAACAAAGATGGCATTTCATTCATTGTACTTTTATTTCTTATGAAGATTATTCCAAGTGAGACCAGGGTTTGCAACGCATTGATGCGATCGGAATTTTCGCTATGGAATTGACCAAGACATAGGCGGGAGCATGCGATTATTGGACACTGGAGACCGAGAACCGATATTAGCCATTTTCACTTCACTCCCGTAGGTGAACCTACCGTTCAATAAGGTGAACCCCGGATGCTGTCTCAATGATGCTGCTGACTTCGCCAGGCTGTAGGCCAAAAGCGGCATCTTCAAACTCCTTCTGCATCTCGCCGCGGCCAAAGAAGCCTCTTTAAGGAGTTAGCAAGACACCTGCACATAGGTCAATTAAAAAACTCACAAATCACCCTTCTTCCGGGCACTGCTGCAGTCGGACTCAGCGACTGCCAGGTCACCAAGAGTGATTTCTCCAGACTGAATGCGCTGCTCGTGACCCTTAAGAATTTCAATCGCCTCCTCCTTTGTGCGAGTAATATCAGCCTCCCTCCAGCTGCTGGGACGGCGGCTATCGCGATGCTTGACGAGCAAGTGGCTGCAGCGGATCTTGCCCTCACCCTCGCCAGAGGGGTCAGAGCGAGCAGCCGGGGTGTGATTTTGCGCCATATAGACTTTCAGCTTATCGGTATCAGTTTCCGCAGGTGGTTCCCAGCGAGACTCTTTTGTGGAAGGGTTGAAGTAGTATGGGAGATTCTTAGAGTTGGAATGGCGAACTTCCCAACCGGTAGGAAGACCTGTGTCGGCCTAGGTCGAAGAGTCAGCTATGCAAACTTTCAAAGGGATGAACTGATCCTACCATTTTGCAATATCGGATCTAAAAGATTCTGATAATTTTCTGAGTAAATAATAATGTACAGATCAATATCACTCCAACGGATTTAGTGTAGACGATAAAACGATATAGTCAGTTATAAGTGAACGGAAACTGCGGGGTGAACAGTTGCAAACCACACAAACATGTCCAAGCTTTAGCTCTCCCGCTTCCCAGTTTGACCGATCACCATCTATGACAACTATCTACATCAATAATACATTACGTAGTTATAGGGGAGCTCGCAATAATAAAGACGAGCTACAATGTAGGTCCTAATACCTGTACGTCAGTATATTGCTTATTTATACGTAATTCGATATCAATCCTGTCATGCCTCGGCCTGTTAATAGACAAAGCGATGTAATTGGTAGGTTCATTATTGACTCTTTTATTCCAACCTTGGAAGGCCGAGAATGCGCTAGGTTGAGGTGAGTCATATACACGGAATTAGCTACGGAGTACTCTGTACTAGTTAGTTAACTACGGGGCAGGCGAATTTACACCTCACCATCCACAAAACACGTGATTTCCACGTGATTTCATTTCTTCCTTTCCTCATTCCCACATCTAAGACCACTCTGCGTCTCGACCCTCAATACAGCACGTCTAGCATTTTGCGATCCACCTGTGCAGCATGTCTGCCAGCCCTTCTTCCACGGCTGGTGGCGAGACTAAGCCGTCGGATCGAATCCATTTTAAGTTCTGCCGTGAATGGTAAGCCTATCCACAAGTCCTCAACTCAAAGTCATTTCTATGGGAACATTTACACATTCGAGGACATCTTACTGACTTTTCAACAGCTCCAACTTGCTCTACCCCAAGGAAGATCGCGTCAACAACCGATTGATGTTCACGTGCCGTACCTGCCATGTCGGCGAGCCTGCCTCCTCGCACTGTGTCTACCAAAACCATCTCCATAGCCAAGTCGGTGACACTGCCGGTGTCACCCAGGACGTGACATCTGACCCCACGGTTCGTCCTCCTGTTTTTTTTACCCTATGCGGTGATATTATGCTTGTTCGATCTGCGGCCCCGCCCCGGACGAGGATCTCCTTGAGGATGCACCACCTGTGGGTGACAGCCTGGAGTCCTCTGAAGTCGAGCCTCGGGCATCTACCCCAGCTCTGCACCTTTTTTTGAGCATCCATACGCTAACACCCTGGGATTTGTAGCTTCCACGGGCCAACAAGCTCTGCCCAAGCTGCGGCGAAACCGAAGCCGTCTTTTTCCAGTCACAACAACGATCCGCCGAAACTGGAATGGTGAGAAGTTATCCTTTGATGGATCCCTGACCCTCTGATATAAACCATGCGCTGACTCCTGCTTCTATCTACTCAGAAACTCTACTACGTATGTTGTGCGTGCGGACAAGTCTACATGTGATCTTTGCATTTCTGTAATGCAGTCTCCAATTCCGAGATACCCTTGAGATTTTGTTTTTGTCGTTTTTTTTTGGCGATATCATAGGAGTTCGGCGAACATTTTGGAGCAGGAACAGGACGAAATGCGTGGATATTTAGGAACAGGGGGTGAAAACTGATGCCATCAACTAGGAATACATACAGATTGAAGTACAATCAAAGAAACAAAGAGCGCTTTCCAACAAATGTAGAAACTTGAAAATACTAAACATGGATCGGCGCCAATGACAAGATCTTGGACCACTGCTTCTTCCGTAGCTCTTGTCCCACCACACCTGTAGAGATATCAGTATCGAAAACCTGGAGACAGCCGTTATCTTGAGACTCCCCGATGGGCACTTACCGTTCAGTCTCGTCCCAATGGGATCTCCGGACTTGTTGACCAGTACACAAGCATTATCACCAAACCGGACAAGGGACCCATCAGGCCGCTGCAATTCCTTCTTCACGCGAACAACAACGGCATGACGAATATCACCTCGGCGGACCTTATTGGCGAGCGCGGCAGCGGTGGTGGCTTCGGAGCCTGCAGATCGCTGCTTCTGAACGACGACGACTATCCGGTCACCTAGATAACCAATCACAATGTCAGCTTTGATTCCCAAATCCCTTCTTGCTGTGTTGCTAGATCTGAGTGCCATGGAGACTGACCGATTGTCGCGGGCCGCTTCTTCTTCAGGACGTTCACGCACTCGACGATCGAGGCGCCGGAATTGTCGATGCAACTTAATAGTGTCTGGCGGAGCTGGCGTCAGTATCGTTTGAGCCACTGAGGAGCATCGCATGCGTACCTTTAATTGAATCATTGTGTTTTGGTACTCGGTCTGGAGATAAGTGCTTGTCCGCAATTTGTTCTCGCGGGCCGGAGGGAGGTTTCGCCGGGGAGTAGGTTTATCCGGGCTTTTATACAATATACTACGGAGTAGTTAGTTATTAGGACTTCGAGTTGGATTTCCTGAGAATGGAATTAGAATGGAATCGTGCTACTATTCATTTTTTACAAATACCAGATTAATTTGAGCTTGTGCTCATAAAAGGCTGTCGTTTGATTCTCCAATATATATCAGCCATGGGTATGTCCTAATGTCGTAAGCAAGCACAAGAAGCGCCGCTTGTTCATAATATAGTTACCCTGAGCTGTTTAGTATAGTAATCATATGGAGTATCTATTCTGACTTTAAGCAACACCCTACGTGGGATTTTCTTAATTCAATCCATACGACATCAACCAACTACTTTTATAGTTCAGCAACATCCCGCATTCGGATCTTTATAGTCCTTATTTTGTCTTCTTTGAAGTTTGACTTTTATATACCCCGAGGGACACAGAGAACAACCTAAGCTCGAGAAGCCATCGGGTTATTCCTTACAAAGCCCACGAAAGAGAGCATCCCATTTTCATAGTTGGATCCATTGAATTCTTCGGCAGATTGGCTGGTATTATACAGTGAATACCCATCGAAGGATAATATACAATACATTCTATGCACAAGACAGAAAAAGAATGATCACTTGATCTGAAAGATTGTTTTGATTGGGTGTAATTGTGATGATACCGCAGGGGCAAGGATTGGATCATACTGTTGTATGCGAGCTGGGCGCGTAAAATCAAGTCGAAACAACTCCCGTACAGAGCAGAAGGTGAAATACTCCATTGATCAATTACTTCATATCCAGTCACCGCAGAGAAAAAAAAAGCGACACGTAGGCGGAAGAGTAAAAGTCGAGAGAACGGCAAGTCTCAGCTGGCACTCCCGTTCCACCCCTAAAAAACATCCGCGAGGGAGTCCTTTCTCCTTGGAACAGCCTCAATGGTGACAATCACTTGATAATGTTCGTTTTGTTGATTGTCAGTCACTCATTTTAATTACTTTCTTGCGCTTCGAACCTTTTTTCGACCCCATCCCTCGGACCTCTGCCCTCCACTGTTCCCCCAATTACCTTTGCAGCCGCTCTGCATTCTATGAGCCGACCTCTTCTCTCCCTCTTTCATAACTAGCGGTCTTCGGCTTCTTCTTACGTCCATGATGCCTCCAAAGAGAGCGCGAAGGGGCTCGCCCGCCGCTGAACGTCGCGAGCGCTTGACCTTGGCTAAGCTGGCCAGCTATGACGATGTCGCAACGGATGCGCTAGTGGATCACGTATGTTATTTGCCTACAATTCAACATAGATATCTGTCCACTAATACTTGCTACTGGCAGGCTTATTTCTGGACCACCACCCGCAAGAACCGCACCAAATACAGCCCTGCCCGCGGAATCCACGATGACGATATTGGGCGCATTCTTCTCCACAATGTCATTGTTGACAAGGACATCCCGACGGCCGAACGCAAGTTGTTGGAAATCTCAGGCTTAAAGAAATACGTGGCAAACCTCCGTAGCCCTCGAGAGAAGGAGTGGTTCCGCCGACACCTCCGCAAGTATATTCAGATGTATCTTCCAGACTGTCCGTTTGAGGTCACTACGACCAACCGATACATTATCACGCAACATGAAGCAGCGATCTGCGCTCGCAGGTTTATTAAAAAGGGCGAGGAGATCAAACACCTGAGCGGAACGCTTGTGTCTATGACCCATGAAGAAGAGTTGGATCTCAGCTTGACCCGCAAAGACTTCAGCATCGTGATGTCGAGTCGCCGTAAAGCTCCGTCGTTCTTTTTGGGTCCTGCTCGTTTTGCCAATCATGACTGTGATGCCAACGGCAGCTTGACAACCAGGGGCAATGAGGGCATGTCTGTCGTAGCCATGCGCGACATCCACGAGGGAGAAGAGATCACAGTTTCCTACGGAGAGGATTACTTTGGCGTTGACAACTGCGAGTGCCTATGTCATACTTGCGAAATTGCTGTACGGAATGGCTGGTCTTCACATGTTGACACAGAGACAAACAGCAAAGAGGCCAGCCCCGTGTCTGAAGATACACCGAGTGAAGACAGCAATGCGAGCAGGAAGCGTGGACGCAGCTCGGATGTGGAGGAATCCGACAGCTCCTCTACCTTGGCTTCTTCCACCCCGCGCAAACGTGCAAAATTCCAACGACAAGTTTCCAAGTTGCGAGAAGGGATCTCAGTTTCCGAACTTACTGCGGAACCAACGCCCGGATCAGATGACACCCCTATCCCGGACACTGTACTGATTCCAGCTACTCTTCTGACGGAAGCTGTAGCCCAGGTGTCCGAGCCGAAGAAAGAGATCATAGAGCGAACCGCAGTTACATCGCCAACTAATTCACAACCCTTCATTTCAGTTGTCACAGGGGAACCAAGCGTGGCTGCCCAAGCCGATCGAAACGGGACAAATAGCACTAATTCTACTATCCCCACGGACTGCGAATCTCCAAACTCCACAGCCGATCAACCTCACCGCTCGTCGACGTCAGCTACAACTGAGGACGACATGGGAACCAAGATCAAGACAGAAGAAACTATATTGGAACCGTCTGAGTCGAAAGCGCTCAACAGTGAGGATCATCCCGATGTCTCTCCTGAAGGTCAGCCCGTCACCACCCACTCCATGGACATTGACCCCGAAGAAGGATTGTCAGACTTATCAAATTCCACCAAATTAGATGACGCCCACGGCGCCATTGTGTTAAAGCCTAAAAAGCGAAAGCCTCGCACCAAGCGGCGATTCATCATGGACTCCGTCGAGACCGAGTCACAGGTTGCTCGAGTCCCTGGAGACTATACCAAGACATCACGATTGCTTGCCCAGAAGTACGACCGCTGGGTGGAGTGCCAGACCTGTGATACATGGTTCCTCCAGTCAAACTCATACCTCACGCGACGTGAATGTCCGCGCTGCGAACGTCATTCCAAGCTCTACGGATACCAGTGGCCATCAACGGACAAAAGCCCGGATGGTGAGGATCGAGTAATGGATCACCGCACTGTCCATCGTTTTTTGTCCCCCGACGCACAATCACGTATCTGTCGCCGAGACCGCGGCGTGAGTTTTGGGATTACCCCCACCCCCGAGCTGTCTGACACAAACACCCCAGAAAGGGAAATTAGTGATTCAACTGAGTCTCACCGCGATGCTCGGGCAAGTCGGCGTCGTACTAGAGAACTTCGTATGGCGTTTTAACTGTACAGCCTTGGAGCCCCTGTGCAATTTACGAGGCAAGACGGGCGAGGACGGAGTTTTGGTTTAGAAGAATGGGCATTTGTGATAATACTTGGTTTAATTGGCATTATATTGCATGGAAATTGGATCTGGAGTTTTGATTTCTTGCAATGATGCATTTTCAGGGTTGGAATCTGGAGGGGATACTTGGGCTTTATTCCTACGGGGACTCCCTTGACAGCTGCTTTTTGACACACTAATTGTGGACCTGATGTTGAATATAAATATAACTAGTTAGGTGTCCTCGGGATTTGTTAGCTAACTACGGTTTCTTTCTCACTACCGGGGTGATCGAGTCCGAATTGACAACGACTGCACAAATCCCCACATTTCATTCCGGGCATCAACAATAACTGCACCAATGAGCTGCTCTCTCGCAGCCAAGCCCGAGAGTGTCGACCGAATTGCTCGAGAGCCATAAAGAAGCTCGGGGTTTCCTCTGCCGAAAGTGATTCCTCTTATCAAATGCGATGGCTCGGGAAGGCTATATATGGCCCCCAGGCTAAACGCAGTAGATGGCAGATGAATAGAACAATAACTCTAGAACGAAAAGCGCTCAAACCGAAGATGAGGTTCTCCAATGAGGTTGTCACGCTTCTCCTCGGCCTCGTGGTCACAGTCAGCACTGCATGGGACAACCCTCTAGTTTCCCTCGACTACGGATCCTTCAAGGGTCAATATGACAGTACCTACAACCTCTCCTATTTTCGCAAAATCCCATTTGCTGCACCACCAACAGGGGAGAACCGCTTTCGTGCGCCTCAGCCACCACTAAAGATCACTGGAGACCTATATGATACAAACCAGGACTTCGACATGTGCCCCCAGCGGACGGTCAACGGCATCTCTACCTGGGACTATTCTCACGGCCATGGGATCTAGCCAAGGATATTAGCAGACCAGTGCTGGTCGTATTTTACGGCGGTGCTTTCATTCAAGGCAGCGCGGCATTCACCATGCCGCCATCCTCATTCCCGATCCTCAATGTCAGCAATATTAACGACTACATCGTTATCTACTCCAACTATCGCGTCAATGCCTTCGGGTTTCTACCCGGCAAGGCAATCAAAGACTCGTCGACCTCAGATCTAAACCCGGGGCTATTAGACCAGCAATATGTCTTGAAATGGGTCCGGAGGCACATCAGCCATTTCGGCGGCAACCCTCACAACGTGACAATATGGGGCCAGTCAGCCGGTGCCGGCTCGGTAGTGGTGCAAGTCCTCGCAAACGGCCGCCATGGCCAACCGAAACTATTCTCCAAAGCCCTTGCCAGCTCGCCGTTCTGGCCGAAGACCTATAAATACAATGCACCCGAGGCAGAAGCAATCTACACCCAGCTGGCGAATCTAACAGGCTGTGCCAGCTACAACCACGCTGATGAGACACTCGCCTGTCTCAAATCTGTTGACATCCAGAAAATCCGTGACGCAAGCCTGATCATCGGAGCGAGCAACACTTGGACAACGAGTTCTTACACCTGGGCGCCTGTTATAGACGGGACCTTCCTCGTCGAGACACTCACAGAAACTGTGAGCATGGGCTCCCTGAACACAGAGTTTGTCTGGGGAATCTACAACAGCCACGAGGGTGAGAACTTCGTTCCCCCGGGTCTTGACAGCGCCGTTTTATTAAATGGGTTTAATTCCTCTGTCAGCAGCTTTCACCGGTGGATTTCCGGTTTCGTGCCTGGGTTGTCGGCCAAGCAGATTGATGAGGTGAAATCTATATACTATCCCGCTGAAGGGAGTACCGAGACGATTGACAGTTATAATAATACTTATATTCGGGCTGGCTTGGTTTATCGGGACGTTGTGCTTGCTTGTCCAGCTTATTGGATTGCGTCGGCTGCGACGGAGAAAGGGTATCTTGGGGAATATACGATTTCCCCAGCAACCCACGGGAGTGATACTATTTATGTATGTTCATCCTTTTTATCGTTGCTCTCTCTTTTTCTGGAGGCTTTCCTAGTGTCGATGGCATAGACTGACTTGATTGATACCAGTGGAACAAAATCAACACTGTTCAAGAGACTAACCCTGTCGTTTATGAAGGCTACGCGGGGGCTTTCGCGAGTTTTTTCCAGACGGGAGACCCGAATGCACACAAGGTGACGAACGCTTCGCAGCCAGGTGTGCCAGAACTACATACGGACGAGGAATTCGTCGTTGTGGATGATGGGCTTGAGAACGTGAAGCTGATCCAGTTGAAGAAGAGATGTGACTTCTGGCGAAGGGTGGCGCGGGAAATACCCATGTGAGAGGTTATAATGAAAATATTCGTTTACAGTTGTTTCAATGCAATTGGACTCAGACGTCGTTATACAAGAGGAGAATTAGGTTCATCATATATGATTGCATATCGTACATACTTCCAAAGATCTAATGACTACCGCGACAATGGGTATAGTCGTTTTCCAATTCCCCAAAAAATCAAAACCTCAAATCAACGCCATGTATGTTACAAGATTTATACAATGTGATAAATGCACGCACGCGTGAATCTGGATCTGGATCTAGATCAAAGCCTGGCCACGGAACATGCCCTCGCGAACCTCACGGACAACGTCCTTGCGGTCCTTCTTGCCCACCAGGACAACACCACGACCACGCTTGCCCATACGACCGAGACGGCCTAGTCGGTGGATAAAGTCGATGGTCGTGTGCGGCACATGGTAGAGAATTACTGTCTTCACTGCCAGGGTATCAATACCACGGGAGGCGATATCGGTAGTGACAAGAACCTTTGTATCGGGAAGGCGGCGAATGGGCTCTTGGCGCTCAGGGAGTTCGAAGGGAATGCTTCCGGCGGCGCGGTTCTTCTTCTTATTAATCATGATCTCCTCCGCAGTCGGTGGAAGCTTAACCTCTGTGAACTGCGAGAGGGTCTCTTGTTGCTTCCGGGAATCGGTGTCGCGAGATAGCGAGACAGCATCAATGCCCTTGGATTGCAGGAAACTAGCGACCTCATCGGCTTCCTCACGTTCGTTGACGAACACGATGATCTTCTTAACCTTCGGCTCCATGTACGCATTGAGCGGTCCCCATGTCTCGGTGTGTTCGTGTCTATCTCCTGCCTTGCCGATTGACCAGATGACATCAGCACAGGCAAGGTTTCGATTTCCGCGGTATGGCTCCTTCTCAATGTCCACGACACCTAGCTGTACGCGACGGGGAATGGCGTGTAGGTTCGGGGTCGTCAGGCGCTGCAGATCAGGGAAGCGCTTGCGCAGCTGGTTGTCGAGACTGCGGGGGATGGTGGCGGAGCAGAGAATCAACTTTTTGAGTGACGGAGCAACCTTGGCAATGATTTCGGACGTTGTCGGGATGAACGAGCGGTCCATTAGGGAGTCGGCCTCGTCGAGTACAAGGTGAGTGACTCGGCTGAGGATATTGGGATTCGATCTCGCAACAGAGCTCAAAAGGTGAGGAGTTGAAACTAGAATATCGATGCCGGCGGGGTGGAATAGGGTGTTCTTGATCCGGCGGGGAGTGAAAGTTGATGAGATTTCGCCAGAGCGGTACTTGACAGTATGGGCCAACTCCTTGAGCTGCGATCCAACTTGAGATACCAATTCGGAGGTAGGAACGAGGATGATGGCCCGAGGACGAGCGGCGTTTGTCATTGGCGGCTCCTCGGGATCCAGATCGAACGCCTTGTTCTTCATTCTCTCCTCCCGCTCTCGCGTCTTTTGTTCCTCGAGGACTTTCTCCTCCTCTATATCGAGGACTTCAGCACGCTTGATAGCATCAACAATTGGAAGCAAGTATGCGAGAGTCTTTCCCGAACCAGTCTCTGCTGCCAGGAGATACTGGTCAAAATTGTATTCTTCTTCATCTTCATTCGCCTTGTTCACTTTCTTCTTCTTCTTGGATTCATCCAGTAACAATTCGGGAATCGCGAGTCTTTGAATGGGTGTGGGGGTAACATCAGTTAGACCGGCCAGAGCCTGGGCGAATATTGACTGTCGAACTGCGGGAAGGAGAGGGAAGTGGTCGAAACTAGTGATGTCGGCAAGTCGAGCTTTTATAGCGGAACGTCGACCATAAGGCACAGCTGTCAACGTTGTCTGCATCTTCAAAGCTCTGTACAATGGGCTCTCCTTCTTTTCCATCTTGCCCTCCTCCCCTGAACGCTTGAGGGCCGCCTGTGATCGTGTGCGTGGTGTGTCTCGAATCCGTGCCTGGGTCTGGTTCATCGAGGCAAAGGGACCGGCCCGTTCCCGTCGTGGCTTGTTAGGAGATGGAAGAGATGGTTTGGAAACAGTAGGCGACAGGGCCATCCGAGCAGCCTTGCGACGCAATCGAACGGTGGCCATGCCTCGTGTGGTCTGCCATGACGTCGGAAGAATCGACGGGGCGAGCAGGGTCGCCTTAGTTTGACATAGAAAACATATCGAAGAGCGAACTGGCAGAGGCATTCTACCTAATTAAAACCGATAAGATGCGCGGAAGTGGGAAACGCTGAATGATCGAAGAGGAAAGGCCAGAACAGGTTCAGATGTTTTTTTTCCGCGATGATAAGACGCCATTCCTTTCTCAGACTAGCGCAGATCATAAACTTTGGTATATGATCAGGTGACTAAAATGCTGACTCAGTACATCATAAACATGTTTGTTGATGTTTGTTTGCGATACTGGTCTCAGTAATCCAACACTCTTCATATTTTCTGTTGTTCTAAATCTGTGCGACTATTCGTCTCAGAAACTAAAACCAATAGCTCAAGGTAATCTGTCATATTACTGAGAGAAGTTATTTCTAGGTAACTCATATCTATAACTACGGAATATATAATTGCCTAGATCCATCCAAATTCCTCACTAGATACATATTAAGAGCGGACTCACCCCGCGGCTTGCTCTCGGGTGAGTTCATATATCCGGATTCAGCATGCTACTACAGACCTCAAAGCCACAATAGTCTGGTGGATGCTAGAGGGGTTGACAAGGAAGTGGCCTGTCGTGGCTTTTGTTTTCGTCTAAGTTCATATCTGCGTGTGAGCTTTGCCTGCACCTTGGGAGTCTCTAGTAACTCCTGCCTTGGATTGAGCTCTACAGATATACCTCCCCTATTTTAAAGCCCTCCACGTCTACCCTATTGGTGAAGATATTTGCTGCCATTCAAATCTCACACATTTTACAAGGTGGTCTTGACATATAATCGATGGTGACTTGTTAGAAAGAGGAAACAATATATCAAATTCTAGCTGTGCTTGACATTTGAATAGTTGGACTCTATAAGAAACTCCGATACCAAAATTCGAGTTTTCTTACATATTCAATCTTATGCTATATTTAGGTACTTTTAACAGTTGAAGGTGGTAGGTGCATGTTGACATCGAAAACGATCCGCGAGGCTATTCTACTTGTAGGCTAGCGCCGATCGGAGGCACCTGACGCAATGTCACGGGATGCTGAAACAATCGCGCCGTTGCCATGACGACTCCCGCAACAACAGTTTCTTGCTTGGGGTAACAATCCACTTGAATCCATGGGAGAGACATATCAAGCTTCGTTGTTTCTGCTACTCTTCTGAATAACCTCTTTCTTTGTCTCTGTCGCTCTTCCCTGCTAATTTTTTTCTCTTTGGGAGTTTGCATTCGTATCCCTTCGTTATCCCTTCCCCTTTTTTTCGGCCTTGGTTTGACACCTAGACACCCAACTTGGGTTTGTTTTGGTACCTTCGCTTTGCCGCAGCATTCTTGCCACGATCGACACGGCCTTTACGCCTTTGCAGCGAATATATCAGGACTCGCTGGCAACTATTTCCCACGCGACTCCTGGTGATTAAAAACGTATGGTACCTGATCTCTGGGCGAGTTTGCCTTACGTCCTTCGTCATCAGTCGTGAACCCATTCGCTGATCAGGACTTGGTGAATAAACACTGACACATTATAGACACCTGTCTTAGTCTTGTATTACGATTGCACACTTCGCATCCTGAGTCACTAGCAAACCCAACGTCAATATGGCTAAGGGACCTGGTCAACGGCCACTCTCCGAAGTGAGCCCCATGGCCCAGAGGCGCAATTCGCCTAGCTGGAATCAAGTTACCAAGGTACTGTCAACGCGATGCTTTGCATGTGGTAAAGCACGCTAACATCCTAGCAGATGCCACACGGCGAATCGCCTGCATACGATGTCTCGTCTCTGAATAACAATGCCTCCCCACGCCTGTTTTGGAAAGGTCGGGACTCCCCATCGCCGTTCCCAAAGGGAGCCGAGAATAAAGCGCCATACGATCCAGAGGGGTGTTATTTCCCCTCAAAGCGCCCGTCTCTCGAAAACTTGAAACGCGTGTCGAAGGTCAAAAATAACAACAAGTTCTTCGAAGGTGGTCAAGAATATGACCCGGCTTCAGTAGTCTTTCCCCAGAGACCATTAGGCTCGCAGAGGTCTCCGCAACGGAACAGCCAAATGAATGTTACGAAGTCCCAAGTCGACGAAGATACCAGCCAAATGTCTCGCCCGTCATCCTCGAGCAAAGACCAAGCATCGCCAAGCAAGTCCTCGCTATCTAAAGGTAGTCGGTATGGCAAGGGATTCGATCCCCAGAACGATATTTGGACCGAATATGGCAGTGCTGGACATCGACATGCAAAGAGTGTCACTTTCGATCACGCCCCCCTCAAATCAACGAATATGAAATGACAACACCGGATCTCTCCTCAGTTGCATCTGAGTCACGTGAGAACAGCTACGAGTCCGAAGAAGAGGGGGATCTTAGTTTTGAGGCCGAGTCATCGATTGAGCGTGATGATAGCTTTGACGCCTCGCTGGAAGATGCTGAGAAAACTCCTGTTGTGTTGCCCGAAGACTGGCGTTTTATGAGCCCAACAAACAGTGATAGCGATCCTTTCATCGAAGACGTTGAAGAAGACAGCGCCGATGAGCGACCTATTTCACGTGAAGGAGGATCTTCTCAGCACACACGCGTCGAGTCGCTGGACTCAAATGGCGAGCGACGTCCCCTCCCGCCTTTGCCATCGGTCAATCGCATGTCTGGCGCGCGTCCGTCCTCGGCTGATAAGCTCGCTGCCGCTTTTGAGATCGGCAGCGCGGGACAGCGTGTGCTTCCTACACCTCCAGCTCCTGCCGCATATACAAAGTCTGATATCCCCGGCGCTGGGTCCATAGAGGAGAGACTCCGTCTCATGATGCTGCAGGAGAGAGATGATGATGAGACACATGATGACCACGCCGAGAGTATCGAGGAAACCTTGGAGCTTCCTAGAGCAGATGAAACGCTTGCATCGAAAG